ATCCATCCTGATTAGTATTACATTTTCTCATATAAGTAATTCTTCAATTCCTAAATATTACATTTTAATTTAAAATTACTACATTTTTCATCAAAAATATCATATTTCTCTACATAAATATTGCACTTTCTCTCATAAGTAACAATCAATTTATTCCCTAACTAGTATTACGCTTTTTATCATTAGTATTATACTTTTCATCTTGACCCGACTCATCTAACAGATAAATATTTATGAGGAGGTCTCAAAAAAAAAAAAAAAAAAAAAAAAAAAAAAAAAACCACTCAACTTAAACTAATGTAATATAGGCCTTGTTTGGTAAATAGTTAGCGTATCAGTCAATTTTGGTTTATTTGACCACTATTAATTGTTTGGTTAATTAGTTTTTTGTAACTTCAAAATGCTAAAATTTAAAAAGTTACTCAAAACAACTTTTTCAATTAGCTTTTTGAGAAAATAAATTATACCAAACAGCTATCAGCTAATAGCTAATTTATCAAACACCTTTCTACAATCAGCTAATGTTATGAACTAGCTATACCCTCAAATTAACCAAATCAGCTAACAGCTAACATCCATTTACCAAACAGGGTCATAATCTTATTTTAACCACAAGATCGAGATGCATCATCACAAGAAGGAAAATACTATGTACACTTCTAATTTCTACTCACAACTTTCACTCTTACACACAAATCTTGATGTAAACATTTGTATTATGACCTATATGAAAAAAAAATATATATTATCAGTACCGGCTACATCAAGAAGTAAAATTTGAGAGTACATATAATAGAACTCTCACGACGAACACTTCTTTTTTATTATGTAAGAATTGACAGGAGGTGACTAAGACTCCTGAATGTCACTAATCTAAACATGAGTATGTCTAAGATTTCTGATCAAGAAGGGATGGAAAAGAAAGGGGGAATTGTAGTACAATGAGGAAAGAAAAAAATGATCAAAGTACATGGTAAATTGGTGGTTGTCGGCTGGTTAAAACTTGTCGGTCAACCCCAAACTCACTTTTACAATTTCAAATAAAAAAATCAAATCAAAGAAAATAGATGTAGAGGAGAGGATAGGTCATAGGGGGGCCAAAAGGATGAAAAAGAGTGTGGTTCTAAAATTGATTTGAGACAGTTGAAATGAGGTTAGTGATGATTAATATTCCAACTTTATGTTTAATTTTTAATGTATTAGTCAGTGGGAAAGATTTGCATTATATTGTCACGTGAATTGACAAGTGTTTTCTAGACTATGTGAAATGGAATATAATATTTTATTTTATGGATTTTTTACTGTGTTGATATCATAAATGTCAATAATAATTGATATGAATTCATGTTATATGGGTACTCCGAGTATAGTGATTTTGTCAATTTTAGTCTTAAACATTCAAATTGACCATCTATGGACCATGGTCCTTCGTCTTTTAAATTTTCACCATATGTGGTCCAAGTTAACCGCCAATTGTCCTTCAAACTTTTGAAATTTAACCAGCCACAGTCCTCCTAGAAGGATTATGGGTGATTAAAATTTGATAGTTAAAGGACCATGGGTGGTTAACTTAGACCACAGATGATAACAATTTGAAAGTCGAAGGACTACGAGTGATCCATTTGAAAGTTTAGGACTAAACATGACAAAACCACTATACTCGGAGTACTTCATATGGTATTAATTCTAATTGATATAGTTATATATACTATTTTTTGAGTAATGATGAAAACTTACAGCCACTAAAAAGTGTGCAGTGATTAAACTCTGTTTTGTAACATTAGCCGTCAAAGGATCACAAAGATGGTTCAAAACTTCAAATCAAGAAAATCAATATGATGCTCTTACTAGGAATCAAATTTGTAATCTTGTAATTATTCAGGTAATAAACTGACCAACTGGACTGAAGATGCCCTCAATAGTCAATATATACTATTTCTTGCCCCAAATATATACTATTTCTTGTTAATTATAGTGTATGAATGCCGATAGCGTCTAATTAATGCAATTAAGTATACACTTCATTATATCTGATATTACTTTTGCATACCACATCTAGTGATAGAGAGACTAATTCATATTCAGCTCAATTTATACAATTTAAAAGAGTTGAAGTTCCAATCTATACAATAATATTATTTTCAAATTATTAGCACCATAAATAAATCATATTTTTAAAAATAAAAAAAATCCTATTATTTTACATTTAAGTTATAACTCTAATAAAATAAAAGTATTCCAAAACCATTATTTACGTATAGACTTATTTTTTTTCCTTGAAATCAAACACAATGTCATAAAGTAAAATTAACAGATAAAAATAACTCCCGGTATCACATTTTACTAGGTTATTGAGTTCACTCACAACCACCTAATTTCACTTGGGTCGACCAATTGTTGAAGATTGTTTCTACTAAGCCCAAATCTACCTCGTTTGCCTAACTCCCTAATGGATTTACTAAAGCCACTAGCTTAACCCTCATTAGACAAAAACCTCACCCTCATTAGTCAAAAAATCACCATCAAGTTTTTGTTTTTGAAAAACCAAAAAACTACAAATAAAGTTGCTCTAATGAGTTTTAGCTTAAAATTATAAAACACGAAATGTTGGATATTTCGTTGGTAAAATCAAATAATAATCCTACAAAATAAGAACTATTATTTTACAGAAAAAAATTTAGAAAGGAAAGGGTGAAGAGATATGACTCGGATTTGGTGTAGGTTGTTAGCACGAGTCGAGCGAATCACTCTTTCCTTAAAACCTTATTTGCTACCTCCCACAAGTGCTAGGAGCGTTGTAGCCTATATTTCCAAGATAAAACGTGCTACTATTCAATTGTTTGAGTACCCAAACAATGAACCCGGCGAACTAGAGCAAAGTTTAGAACACAATTCGGCTAAAGAAAGGAGTAGAAGCAGAGTTTTGGGAGTTGAAAAACGTAGTGAAATTCCTTGATTTCCTTCTGTCAAATGCTGTTGCTCTACCTCTTCTTTTATAGTGGTGTTGGGATTAAATAGCATTTACTTTGACATTTAAAACTATTTTAAAACAGTAGCCCACCACCTGAAATTAAATTCAAAATAAAAAATTAAAATTAATAGAGAATTAATTCCGTAACTGTTGAATTTAATCTCACACCGGTTTGTTACAGACCCATGCTGTTTAGTTAGCGTGGTCGACCAGCACACTCACTCTTTCGCGACGAAGCGTGTTGGAAAATGATACCGCGGCCTACCACACGCTCGTGGTCGACCAGCACACTCACTCTTTCGCGACGAAGCGTGTTGAAAAATGATACCGAAGTTTGGCATAACGTAGCTCATAAAGCCTGCCAATTTTCAAAAGAGAGCCTCTATGATATAGAATTCAATACATTTTAAAAGAGCTCTTGTATAAATACTGGTGCAAATCCACTTCTAAATTCAATGTGGGACAAAAGCTTTCCTTTTTCCTTCACTTTTCCAACTCAAATTGGTCTACTTTGAGAATCAATATCTCATTCTCCCAGTATCCGTTTTGAGCATATAATATATCATTCTCTTTGTCTCACTAGAAAAACCCGAGTCCACTTTCACCCGACCCAAATCAAAAGTAAACCCCAGTAATAATTATACCACAATATAACAACTTAATATGTCATTTTAAACTATTTTTTTCTACACAAAGTACCTTATGATTTGATTGTATCACTCTTACCATTTTAAATAGAAGGCGATTGTAGCAAATCAGGAAAAAGTGGAGAAGACGAAGAGAAGTAGGAAGCAAAGGAACAGAAAAAAGGCTATAATTTGTCCTTTGGGCAGAGGCATGGCCATAGCGGAATAGTGGTGGTGGGGAGTGTGTACCTCAACTAGTACCACTTCTTCATTCGTCCGTACAACTCTCTGCATCTACTAATCTACTATACTCCCCTCCCCACTCCCCAGTAATTCTCATGCCCATTCACTATGCAACCCCAACTACATTCTCATCAACAAAACTACCTAATATGTCTAAGGACACTTAATACTTCATCGTCACGTCAAGAGATAGTGAGTAATGGTTTGAATTGTGTAATAAAACTCTAATGAAAAATCAGCTTGGTTGGCGTGAGTGACCGTGTTATTTCATCTTTTAAGAGAGATTAGGAGTTCGAATCCCCTCTCATATGAAAAAACCAATCTAGCCAGCACTTGCTCGGTGTGAATAGAGACTAGTCTGAGTATGGTAAGTGTCTCTTACAGTTAGGGTCGAGCCAAAGAAGTTGCAATTGACCCTTTACACACTAAAAAATAATAATGTAGTTCTTTTTTTTTTTTTTTTTGAATACTGACTCTGTTACAATACAATTTTTGTTTATAATGTAATTTTTTTAATTAGCATGTTGTTTCCACTTTCCATAATTGTTATAAAATTCACAAAATTTGGTATGTCGGTGACATTTTGAGACATTATTTTAAATGCGGTTAGTTCTTTTTTTTTTTTTTTTTTTTTTTTTTTTTAGGTGTGGAGATAAATTTTATACATTTATATGTTTAAAATAGTGAATAGGTGGATGAAAAATGAATGACTTAATACCCAAAATCGTCCTCGACTATAGTGGTTTTTCTCAATTTCGTCCTAAACGACTTTGGTGACCTAATATCGTCCCAGACTTTTGTGTTTCGCTCAATTTAGTCCTCCATTTGTTATTCCGTCAAATTGATGTTAAATAAAGGGACAATTCAGTAATGTCAATATTGATCTCTCTTTACTTTCAACTTGTGAAGTGCGAAATTCCTCTTTTTTGTACGAATTACACCCAGAATTACTCCCGGACCTGCAAATCAAATTTTATATTCGCAGTTTTAGGAGTAATTCTGGGAGTAATTCGTAAAAAAAAAAAAAAAAAAAAAAAAAGGGATTTCGCAGTTCACATGTCTATGAGTAAAGAGATGCCAATATTAAAATTACTAAATTGTCTATTTATTTAACACCAAATGGACAGAATAACAAATGAAGGACTAAATTAAGCAAAAACACAAAAGTCTGGGACGATATTAGGTCACCAAAGTCGTTTAGGACGAAATTGAGAAAAACCACTATAGTCGATGACGATTTTGGGTATTAACTCAAAAAATGAATTATCAAAGTACACTTTAAAGTCCCTATGTGGGAGGTGATAGGTTCAAGCCTCAGTGAAGGCATTTGATGTAATTGAGTATTTCCTTCCTATAAAAAAAATACAGTTTAAAGTTGAGAAAAAGCCTGAAAATGCCCATATTGGTAATTATATGGACAGAGAGTATTATATAATTTTTTTTTCTTTTTATAACAAGTGTGAAATATATTGCTAAAAAAATTATTTTCACACGCGAGATGCAAATCAAATTTCAAATTAAATGTTGCAAGCTTAACTCGTATACACTAGCGGCATCACTCTCGGAAATCTCAATCTCTTTATTTATTTATTTTTTTTTGAAAACCTCAATCTCTTTATTAATAAACACAACACTGATTGATTTTTCATCACCTGGCCTAAAAATTCTATTTTCTTAAACCAAATATGTCATTATATTCAATTCATATGACTTCCCTTAAATCACGAGTTACTCACATCATAAATGTCAATATCTATTATGAGAATCTAATTCTTTTTTTTTTTTCCTTCCAATCCTCAATCATCCTTGTAATGTCTACATTAATTTGAATTATTGCATGAGATTTGACTTATTTGGGCCCCGGGGTATATGAATAATGGACTCCTTAGCGGCATGATTAGCAGAAGATGAAGGTTGGAAAACTCAGCTTATCGTCGCATTAATTAGTAAATTAATAAAGAAAACATTAAAATTCAAATGCCAGCTGTAATGAGTACGTATCATATAATTGAGCTGACACTCGTGTTATCTATATCAAAATATGGAATCAAAATCTTGTACAACTTAAATTTTATCTAAATCTCGTCTAATGTTACGCGGTCCATGTATAATTGACAATGTCTAATCACATGATTGACACTACTTGGTAGACGAGAAAGCGGTAGGGTTTAGCCACATAACATTTTACATTGTTGTAAATATCGTACTGTTAAAGCGAGTTAGCAAAGGGACTCGACATAGCCCGCCATTGCGGGCTATGAAAAGGTTAGCCCATCCAACCCTATCTAAGATTGCGAGTTTTTGCAGACCGATCCACTAAAATCTTTAAAAAATCAAGTTTAATTTAAATTACTTTTAAATGTTAATAATTACATATTAAAATAATTTAGATAATTTAAAAGTAACAAATAAGTCCAAATAGATAGATAGTCCATAACAAAACTAATTCTAAGTTTAAAACTTTTAATTAAACTCACTTAATAGTTTATGTCTGTGGGGAGATAATAATGGAACAACGATTTTCAAAGAATGGAATTATTAATAAGGTTCCAAGTATTTTATTAATTTAATAATATTAATATAAAGTTTTTAAAAAATTAGAAATTATTTATACAATTTTTTTGTTGGTAAAAACTAGGTGGCAAGCCCACAGCCCGCCTAGCCCATCTTGTCAAAGCTTGCAATTTTGGTGGGCCTAAACATTTAAAGCTTACCCCACCCTTATTTTAAGTGGGGTAGGGCAACTCCCAATCGTTATGCCATGGAACCGTGTTCATCATCCATGGTGAACACGGTCCCAACGGTGTTAGTGCACCGTTATCTTTTTTTTTTTCTCTTAATTAATCGCGTGATTTTTCTTCTTTATTTTCACATTTTGCGGTTTCACTTTAATTTGAGGTGAGCAATGATTTCGGACATTCATAAATTATGAATCCATGCCTGCACATTCACTTTGGAACCATGCCTACACATTCCCGTCCGAAACCATGGCTGCTCCTCTGTACCGCAAGCTTCTTCAACATTCATAAATTTTCTGTTATGAGATTATGAATTTTCTGTTATGAGATTATGAATTTACAGAAAATTCATAATTTAATAAATGTTTTTGTTTTATGCGATTATGAATTTTCTGTTATGAGATTATGAATTTACAGTACATTCATAATCTCATAACAGAAAATTTATAATCTGACCAAACGCGCGCCGTACCACATTCGCGAATTTTATTTTTTATTTTACGTAAAAACGGCGTCGTTTGGACCCGTGTTCACCATTCATGGTGAACACGTTTCCAGGGCATAATTTACTGGCAACTCCACGCAAATTATTCTGCGGATCCAACTTGCAAATGTTTACAATTCATCTTTTAAAAATTCACAATTTGTATACTATAAACACACAATGTTAACATATGTGTAATTAATTACCTTGTTTTGTATTCGCAAGTTTCTTTCAAATACTGCAGTCATACAATATTAACATATTAGAATTTGATGACTCTGTATTGTATTCACAAATTCCCTTCTACCGCTATTATGTGTTTTGACTTAGTCATTCAGAAACACAATTTATATTCTAGAAGTTCACAATTCTAATACTAAAAATACACAATTTATCTTCGTTTATGATCAGGGATCGGGATCAACCTTGCAAGGTGAACCCTGGTCCATGGTATAACAACTCGCAACTCTATAGGTTTAGCTTGAGTTGATAGCTCTATATATATTACGAGTACATTAATAATATAGTATGTTTTACACTTTACCAATGAAATATAGAATAATACAATTTTATCAAATGCAAAATATACCCACAAATCACCATGTACAATATAAAATATAATTTCCCTTTTAATCAATTTTTTAAGAATGGGCAATAATTAGTTGTAACGTTTAGAAGTGTCTAATTAACCAGACTTGTCAATTTATTAATTAAAAATTTCTTATTGGGTTGACAAAATTACAACATGAACATAATAAAGGTAAACAGAAACACAACATGTTAAGATTAACAGGTTAAAGTTCTAAATAAGAACAAAAACACAAATTTTAAATGGGTTGACACGATAAACATGTTTAGTTAATAAGTTTTGTGTTTACACGAAACAATATGACATGATAACTCATTTAGAAATTAGAATCGCTTAAACATGTTAATATAATTTTCTTTTTAGAAAGTAATTTTTTTTTTATTAAATCTACAATTAGATCAACAAAATAGTAAATATATTTAATTTTTTTGTATAACTAAAATACAATTTAGTTCAATTAATTCAAATGATATAAAGTTATTGCCCAAATGAAAAAGGAAATATTAATACAATTGCTTACAACAAGACAAGACAATCATCACATTATTGTATCCCTTAATTCTTTTACATTTGCAAATTAATGGGAAACATAAATTACTGACACAGATTATCTTATATAAACTCAGCTAAAATTATTATACTCTTTCAATAAATTAAAGAAATAAAAAGTGCAGGCTCAGGCTCAGGCTCATCTGAACACCAAGTTGTGGCATGTTTTGTCACAAGGGTATGCGCAGTCAATATATTTCACGCTAGCCCGATCAAAATACCAATCTCCAACCGCAAGTGCAATTGCCTGCATTTTTTTCAACATATATGAATTATATGTGTTGAATTTGTCTTAAACTATGAATATGAGTCGGTGTCATACAAGGAACAGGGGTGGAACGGGTTGAGTTAGTCTCATTTTATAGGGATTAGATGCTTATAAATACATTGGTTGTATCCCAATTTTGTGTTTTTTTCGTTTTCTGCTATTATGATTGTTTCTTGTTCTTGTTCATCTCAACAATATGGTAAATATCATTTCCTAAAATGTGGTCCAAGGAAAGAGATCAAATAGTTGTGTGCTTTGGGACAATCTTCTATAGTAACGGTTTTCAAACGAAGAGGGACAACCTCAACCGAGTTGAGACTCTCGTGAGAGCAGTCTATTGACTTTCTTGATTTGAGCATATCAGCTATGGGCAGTCTAGATTGGTTTACCTCTGGAGGAAGTTTGGGTGTGGATTATAGAGTAACATCAAACCGAATTCATATAAATTTCCCGGCAGATTTTTTGGCGTACCTTGTTATTGATAACAGGAGAATCGTCAGCGAACCATGTATCCTGCCTCTCGGACTGGCAGTGGGCGAAGCATGAATTTATGAACAAGCCCGTCTGTTTAGAAGCTGCGAACCCCTTTACAGCGTCCAGCATATCATTCCTAAATCCTGCTCGAGCAAGCTGAAGTAAGACTACAGTCCAAAATGCAAATTCAAGAAGCCTCTACCGGGATTACCTTGCAGAAATTTAATCTGTGACGTCGAGCATTTCTGATGGTCCGCTTTGCAGTCATGCCAAGCCCCATTCGGGTCAGCTGAAGGAGGAGCCAAGCTGGCTTGGACCTAAAGACAAGAACGACAATAGCTTAGCAGTCGTTCGGGTGAGTTCCTATAAAACATCGACCAAATTAAAACGTTATTAATGTGCATTACCTGCCACGAATCATAGGCAGCATTGAGTAAGAAGAGCGGAGTGTTGATGTTTGCGATCAAATTCTGAGGAAAGAAGCACTGGAAAAGGAAAGTGAAGTCCAAAACCATGTCAGCAACGAAATAATAGAAGAGGAAACAATGTGTGTGCCAAACAAGAGAAAGAACGGAATTAAGACGAAGGACTCACCGAGGTTGGATCGAGGTGGTTGGTACAACTTTTTGGCAGGTTTTTCACGAGATCCTTCCAAATGACCAAAAACCCGTGAATAGGCGTTATGATGAGCACTTCTAAATGATATCTTCTTAGAAACGGATAAGTTTAATTTCACTTGTGAAAATACCTGGACAGTTACTACGCCCGAAAAGATATTCCTAAGGCTATGCCCACCAGACACATCCGTTCTGCAAATCCATAAAGGCTCGTCATCATTACTATCCATCATAAAACGCAATATTCTGAATCTTAATTTCAACACAACACGAGATTTTCGGTATTCACAGAAGCATAAAAGTGTGGAAATTACGCATCCATAAACAATCCCGCATCACTCAGGCACTTCACTTTAGTACTACTAGGAAATAAGCTTCGAAACTCATCACAGTGCAATATCGAAGCAAGACCACCGGCAGAGCACCCAGAAAGAAGAGCCTGAAACAGAATTCGTGCCACCAAAAAAAGTAATAAGACGGGCCAAATCGATCTAAAATTTAAATAAATTAATAAATAAAATGCTCAGAAAATATTACCTGTTCAGCATTCCGCATTCCCTTTGACATTAACTCGTCCATTGCTGCTTCATATATGCGTTGCCCTCTAAACTGCAGCTGTGCAGCCTGTTGAAAGTTTCAGTACCTTTCTCAATCGTTGCACTTATTGAAAGACAAAAATTGTGCTCGTTTCTGAGAAAAAAAATAATTACGCAACCACCCAATTGAAGAATGTGCTCCATCTCAACTAAAAGCCTAAACCCTCACATGTGCGGGGGCCCCAACACGTGGACCGTAATCTCTTTTTTTTTATTGGTCTGACTCTGATACCAAATCAAAGAATGTGTTCCATCTCAACTAAAAGTCTAAGCTGATAGTTGGATTGCACATTAATGGTTATATGCTCACACACCCGACTTACTTACTGAAAGACCAGAAAATGTAGAACAAAGATATGAAGATGGATTATGCAACGATCACGAAAGCGAAGGGAAAAGGCAAAAGCAAAAAATTATTTAAATCGATAACCCAAAAAGTAGAATAAGGAGTTCAAAGCTCCAGGCCAAGTGCTATAATTCGTTCCACTAATATAACTTTTTCCAGCCCAAAAGCAGAGCAACATGAGTAAACCTAAAGAAAACATAATTATTTGCACTAATACAAACCTGATTTTCGCTATCTCCTGAGAATGATGCACCATCACAGTAGCGAACTTTAATTCTATTCCAATTGTAAAAATCTGCAAAAATAAAATAGAATGAGAAGTGTGGCAATGGGCAAATGGCATTTTCAAAAACTAGAAAAGAGAAGAGTTTTTTTTTTTTTTTTTTAACATTATTATTGTGTACAATAATAGGGAAAAACCTGGATTCTCCTCAGCCTTATTGCTCAAAATTCCGGTAAATGGAAGATTCTTTTCCATGAATTTCGATGACCCACGCCGCGTAGTTTTGCGGTAAACACATGATCTAATGGTGTTACACCATCCACCACCCTACCATAATTTCGTTCACAGAACTTAGGTTCCAAATCAAAGAAAAACAGCAGTGCGTTGTACAATTTTCATGACATAAAGTTATGAATATGCCTTTATGCTCCTCTAAATCAGGAAAGCATGCAAAATTATACGAGACTCAAATTCTATAAGACTATAACCACGATTACTAAGTGAATTCAGGGCCAAAGGCCATATTCGATAACATAGTTAGCTTATCAGCCAATTTTGGCTTATTTAACCATTATTAGTTGTTTGATTTGGCTAAACAATCAATATGAGTGTTTGATTAATTAGCTTTTTGTAACAGCTTATTGCTCCAAAATGCTAAAATTCAAAAAGTTGCTCAAAGCAGCTTTTTTTTTTATCAGCTTTTTGGAAAAGTCATTTTGCATGTAATCAGCTATCAGAAACTAACAGCTAATGTACCAAATACTTTGCTACAATCAGCTAATACTATCAACTAGTCAAAGCCACTAACCTAATCAGCTAATAACTATTTACCAAACACTCATAATCATGCACAACATTACTTTGGTCAAGAAGCCAATTGGAAAACAAATCTCGTTTTTTGTGGCTGTTCATTTCGCTAGACAAAGTATGGTTCAAACAATGACAGGAGAAAATGCATAAACAAATGCTGCAGAGCGATTGAGCGAACTAATAGACCGCACAAAGCATTTCTATAACCGAAGATTAATGTCACTATTCAAAGCATATCGAGCACAAACCTCCAATTGAATGACCCAACTGTTAGCTCCTGATCCATACCCCTCATGAATGTGATAACCGGGTAACGTCCCATCAAGGCACACTGAAGATATAAACCACAGGGAAACGAAACTCGATTTGAACTGTGAAAGCCAAAGCAAAGTATATGCACCAAAGATTGTCTAAACTACAAAATTTGTTGTTTCAGCTCACAAGTTCTGGTAATTCAGCTAAGTTAAAACAAAGAAACTTGAAACCATTCTGGCATCAAGAATAGGTTAACCAGAAGTAACAGTATGGAGCTATCATAAGCAAGTAACTAAATGAACAAAACCCCAATTGGCTCTAGAAAAAAAAAATGACCCTTTAACATATTAACAGATCTAAAATTTCCCATTTAATGTTGCTGAAGAAGTAAAACATTACAAACAGATATAGAACACACAAAAAAAGTTAATTAGTAACTAATTCAACAGCACTCATATCAAGAACATTTTCCATTACAAAAAGCAACAAAATTTCAGCAAATTTTACAAAAAAAAAAAATGGGAAAAGAAGAAAATACCAGCTCCTTTAGCATCAGCTCCTTGAATGAGAGTAAGGGGAACCAAAACAGGGTTAGGATTAGTGTCGGCAGCAGAGGCGGCGCCGCCGTAGACAGATTGCAAGAATGGCAGCTCCGTTTTGTTGAAGAAAAACTCCTCAAATTCACGGCCTTCAACAGCCACACCCAACAAAAACCCAATGCAAATCACCCCCACCAACCCCATCAGCCTCCTCTCCTCCCCACTACCCATTTCTTGAAAATAGACAAAAAAAAAGAAAGAAAAAGAAAACAAAAATATACAAAATACTCCTTTTACACGTCTCTGTAATCTCCCTGTGTGTATATATGGGGAGATGTACAATGTAGTGTGTTTATATACTTTATAAATAGTAAAAATCTTGAATTTAACAGCAATAAAGTGCTCAAAAGTAGTCTTTTTTTTAGAGTTGGGGAGAGAACAGCTGGAGCTGGAAAGAGTGTGTTTTGCACTTTTGCCGGGTAATTCAACACTTTTGTTTTTCACATATTTACAAATTACAACTCCGTATTCTGTGTGTTGTATATTATTTAGAAAAAAAAAACATGGAAGATAGAAATTACTCAAATTAGGGAGTAGATATTAATATATTATTGGAGGAGTACATATAAAACAAAGAGACTACTGATATCGAGAGTTTGAGAAGGTAACTAGCTTGATTAGCATGAGTAGTCATCCACTCACATATCTTAAGAGAAGTGAAAGTTAGAATTTCTTCTTGTATGAAAAATCAATCTGGTTAGTACTTTGTTTTTTAATTGAGTCAATCTGTAAAAATAAAAATCAGAACTTAAAAGGTATCTCTTATAATTAAGATATCTTTCGGACACTTGTGACCAGACAAAAAGAAAAATAGAGAGTTTGATAAGGTGGATTTATGTAGGCAACCACACTGAATAGATACCACGAGTAGAGGGAGGGCACACGTTAAGAATCTATGATGATAAAGTGAGCTTGGTGCATACCATGTACTAGAATGATAGCCACACACATTTCATACATCAACCTCCATATTAAATTATGTATGTATCATATATGGTCTAATGGATACGATAGAAGAATGGAGTACAGCAATCCAATCAAGTTGATCAGGTCATTAACCATGACCGGAGTCACAATGGGTTAGTGGGAGCAGCTGCCCCCACTCCCCCACCTACATTACATTTATATATATTGTGGGTAGGTCTCTTGTATATACATAGTTAACTTATAAATACTAAATTTATATAAATTTAATCAAATGATGAGTTAGTTTTTAGATGATAAGATATTAATTTTTTTTTTTAATGTTAGAAGTTCAAATCATGCAACATGATTTATAGTGAGATTAATTCTAATTGAATTTTTTTATTTGTAATATTGTGTATTTTTATCTCATTTTTTAATATTAATAGTGATATTAGTGATTTATAATATGTTTTCTATTCGAATTATTTTATCTAAATAATTATATTTTATAATTTGTGAAATTTTTATTTGTAACATTGTGTTTTTTTTTCTCGTATTTTAATATTAGTAGTGTTATGAGTGTTTTATAATATGTTTTCTATTCAAATTATTTTATCTAATTAATAATATTTCATATTTTGCTTTGAATATTTTTTTATCTCATTTTGATTTATTTTTATTTTTCATCATAATTAACAACATTTATGACTCGGCCTCTAAGTAATATTTTTTTTTCAAAATATTTCATTGGTTTTTAATCTTCCGCCCCACCGGTGAAGATTAATGGATCCGCCCCCGATCATTAATAATAATAATAAAGATACATGTGTTTGCAATTAACATATTATATATATATAGTTAACATAGTATGTGCCTGCCTTCAATTTATTTACAGGCACATAATTTATTAACTGAAGACACAAAATATGTTAATTGCAGACAAATCTTTTTTTTACTAGGGTCCATAATATAAGGTAGGCCCTGAGGTGGACCCTGGTCCATGGTATAATAATTGGTCATTAACTTTGTAATTACAAGTTTGACTCATAGCAGACCAGTCTTATTGGTTTTCATGGTTTGATGAGTTGGTCAGCTATGGACAACTTATATTAATTTACTTTTTTATGATCATTTGTCAGCTAAGGTCACAAGATAGGGTTTATTCAATGCACACCCTTAATTGGGTAATTACTGTGAGTTTCACTCATCACTAAAAAAAAAAAAAAATGGATTATATGTGTGGGTTGTGGTGTATTCTATAATGTATTATGTTAATTTTGTATGGTTATAACATATGAAATCAGTATAATGTTGGATCCTCAATTATAATAACATTTGTCTCTTAACTTTTCCAAATTAACTTTACTATTTTAAAAGAGTAAATATCCAAAATGGTCCCTCGACTATACCTAAATTTACAAATTGGTCCTCGACTTTTAATTTCAACCAATTAAGTCCTTAACTTTGCAATTTTAACATAATTTGGTCCTTTGTCTATTTGACCGTTTGTTGACTGCGCTTTTTTTAAGATATATATGTAATTTCATGGTCCATCGTCGACTTTTTAAGGTACCGATTGCATTTCTAGACCCCACTGTTACATTTGAATCCACTGTCGGCGCTGCACCCCATGCCGGAGAGATTATAGCTTTTGATAGATAGATCGCCGAAGTCCCTGGAGTGGCTCTTCGAGAAAGCCTTGACTCCAAGCGATGTAGGCAAGCTGACCCCAAGCAGCAAGCGGAGAAGCACTTTCCCCCTCCAAAACGGCCATGTCACCTCCAAGAGCGTTCTCTGAGCTGAACCGGCTCGTGATCCCCAAGCAGCAAGCGGAGAAGCACTTCCCCCTCCGAAACAACGATGTCACCTTCAAGAGCGTTCTCTTGAGCTTTGCACGTGAAACTACATATATATCCTCAAAGATCGCGGTCAACAAACGGTCAAATAGATGGAGGACCAAATCGTGTCAAAATTGCAAAGTTAAGGACTTAATTGGCTAAAATTAAAAGTCGAGGACCAATTTGTGAATTTAGCTATAGTCGAGGGGCCATTTTGGGTATTTACTCATTTTAAAATGTGAAAGTTGTGTCAAATTTCTATATTTTAAAATAATTGGATAAATTAAATTTTACACTATAATTGAGGGATAAATAGTAATTAAGTCTTAAGTCTAAACATATATTTCAAGCTATATTAAAATATTAACATTTTACTTTCAGTTCAATGAACATGTGGAGTAGTAGTAGGTTTGAAATATCATATAAAAAAAAAAATTAAAAAAAAACATTAAAAGGCTTGGTTTGGTTAACAATAAGTCAATAATAGTATGAATTTTTTGAAAGTGATTTTGTATTTCATGTGTTTGGTACAATGTGTTTTGTTGTTGACCAACTAGTTTTGTGACTTTGTCGGATGGAAGTGTAACGTAAATAATAGTAAGTAAATTAAGTACGGAGTATTTATATTAAAAAGGGAAAATGGCACTTCTTCCCCCTAAGTTATATACTTATAGCATTTTCTCTCCCTGAATTATTCAAGTGGCTGTTTTTCCCCCTGAAATGTTAAATGGACATATTTACCCTTAAAATAAATATTTCATTTATTTTCCTTCTCCAACAAATTATGACAATAATTTGGTTCAAACCAAACAAACACTATAGCAACCAAACCGAAATATTCCAATTACAATTTAGAATCGAAACTCAATATTTAGAGTTTATTAAAATTGCGAACCGGAACGGACGATTCATGTACCGAACTGAAAAAAATAAAATATATTTATTGTTGAATTTAGACTATTTAAAATAAAAAATAAAATTTTAAAATAAAGACGGTTCAAAATTGCGAACCGGATCTAGAACCGCCAATTCACGGTTCAAGATCCAATTTTTTTTATTCATAATTTTAATAAATTGAAATCCAAATATTAGGTTCTAGATCTGAATCATAACCGGAAACTTTTAATTCAATTGCTATAGTGTCCGGTTCAGTTTGATCTGAACCGTGGTCATCCCTACGTATACGCGATAATTTGTTGGAGAAGTAAAATAAATAAAATGTTTACTTTAAGGGTAGAAATGTCAATTTAATATATCAGGGGGGAAAAATCACCACTTTTAGAATAATTGAGGGGGCTAATGTGCTTACCTAAATAATTGAGGGGGAAAAATGGCTATAAGTATATAACTTAGGGGGAAAAAGTGCCATTTTCCCTATTAAAAATAATGAATAGTTTTTACTTGTTAAAAATATAATAATGAGTTAATACTTAATACTCAAAATGTTCCTCCAGTATAGTGATTTTTTTCAATTTCATTCTAAACAATTTTGGTGATCTAATTTAGTCTCAATTTTTTGTGTTTTTGCTCAATTTAGTCCTCTATTTATTATTCCGTCAAATTAGTATTAAACAGAGATACAATTCAGTAATTTCAATATTGACCTCTCTTTTAATTTATTTTTAATGATTAAATAAGTCACCCATCTTTTACGAATTGTCTCAGTAATCAGTAAATTGAAATTACTGGGACAATTCGTAATCCGTAAAAGATTTCTATTGAAAATACTGGGACAATTAATAAAAGATGAGTGATTTATTTAATCATTATAAATGAATTAAAAGAGAGGCCAATATTGAAATTACTGAATTGTCTCTCTATTTAACACCAATTTGACGGGATAACAAATGGAGGATTATATTAAGCAAAAGAGTAAATACCCAAAATGGTCCCTCGACTATAGCTAAATTCACAAATTGGTCCTCGACTTTCAATTTCAACCAATTAAGTCCTTAACTTTACAATTTTAACACAATTTGGTCTTCTGTCTATTTGACTGTTTATTGACTGTGATTTTTGAGGATATATATGTAATTTCATGGTCCATCGTCGAATTTTTAAGGTTCCGATTGCATTTCCAGACCGCACTGTTACATTTGAATTCACTGCCGAAAGCAATCTACCAAATCCGGTCGCCTTTCTTCATCCCCCCTTTGGATTCAATGTAGTTGAGTTCGTACCAGAGCGATTAAGACGACTTGTTTCCGAACCAGTACAACGTCATCCTGGAGGCCTACACGTGCTCCGACGAGAGCTGAAGGTTCTTCTGGAGATCGTCGATCACGGTCAACAAATGGTCAAATAGATGGAGGACCAAATCGTGTCAAAATTGCAAAGTTAAGGACTTAATTGGTTAAAATTGAAAGTCGAGGACCAATTTGTGAATTTAGCTATAGTCGATGGACCATTTTAGGTATTTACTCTAAGCAAAAACACAAATATGAGACTACATTAGGACACCAAAATCGGTTAAGACGAAATTGAGAAAAACCAATATAGTCGAGAACCATTTTGAGTATTAACTCAAAATATAATATTAAAAATACAGTTGTTAGAACTACTTATACTCCGTAAATATTACATAAGATGAAAAGATATTACATGTTCGGACAAGAGACTTGAATGTTGAAATTAAATGATAGTCACTTTGTTAAAGATGGAATTACAAAATTTTTAATGCTCTGAATTACAAAAAATATTAGTAATTAATTTATATTTTTATGGTCCTTCGCTGATTAGGATCACAAGGCGAGTTTCACTCAGCGTATACCTATTCAAGTAGCGATGGTAGACTTTTATGTAAATCAAATTAATGAATCAGATACAGTAATGACTTAATAGTAATTGGACTAGTATTAAAAATGATATTGTTACACTTTCTTACATTTATCACTCCCACAAACTCACTTTATAATATGACATTTTGTAGTGAGTTGAAATACGAAATTAAAAACAAAAACAAAAAAAAAACAAAAGAAGATAAATTAATCAAACAAAAACAATCATATAATAATGACAAGAATTATGTAATTGCTGTAAAGAAAATGCTTCTTAACCTCTAATTTTTTTCTAGCTTGATGTGACTTTTATTTATTGAGTGCTCATAAATTAATTGACTAATCATTAATTAAAAATAAAATTTAGTAATTAATTAAATAGTGTCACATCACAAATATGAATATATAAAAAAAAAAAAAAATTACTCTCCCTATTAAAAATAAATCCATGTGCGTTAATCACGTGAGGCTTCAGATCTATGTTGAGCATTTATCTCTCCGGTGGGATTGTCTGTCGGACGAAATCTGTTTCGTCACAAAAAGCGTGCGGTGGTCGCGCTAAGGGTTTGTCTGTTTTCGCGACGGTCGAGGAAATTATTTTATTATCCTCTTAAATCATCTTTATTTTATGTTTTTATTGGTCAGCAATTATTGCCATTAATTACTCGCCATTGAACCAATATATGCACTTTCTGCACTTATTTTGCAATTTGCAAATGACTTTTTCGCAAGAAGAAATATTTTGTGCTTTGTAATAATTATAATTAAACTTTTTTAAGATTGATAATTCAATATTATAATTTAAATTGTTGATGAGATTCTAATTGATATTTTTTTTCATATCGTATCGGTATTTATACTTAACATAGTCAAACTAATTCAATCATGTATTAATCAGACCTTATTCAAAATGACGATACATGATCATTGATCTATTAACTTAATCATAAAAATCTAATTCCATTTTAATTTACCTATCATATCATAAAAATCAATTAAATTGTTGAAAATTTATATTTCTTTCCCCATTAAACATTCTTTGCATGAAATAATTCTAGAGTTAATACCCAAAATCGTCCTCGACTATAGTGGTTTTTCTCAATTTCGTCCTAAACGACTTTGGTGACCTAATATCGTCCCAGACTTTTGTGTTTCGCTCAATTTAGTCCCAGACTTTTGTGTTTTTGCTCAATTTAGTCCTTCATTTGTTATTCTGTCCATTTGGTGTTAAATAAATAGACAATTCAGTAATTTTAATATTGGCATCTCTTTACTCATAGACATGTGAACTGCGAAATCCTTTTTTTTTTTTTTACGAATTACTCCCAGAATTACTCCTAAAACTGCGAATATAAAATTTGATTTGCAGGTCCGGGAGTAATTCTGGGTGTAATTCATACAAGAAAGAGGAATTTCGCACTTCATAAGTTGAAAGTAAAGAGAGATCAATATTGACATACTGAATTATCCATTTATTTAACACCAATTTGACGGAATAACAAATGGAGGACTAAATTGAGCGAAACACAAAAGTCTGGGACGATATTAGGTCACCAAAGTCGTTTAGGACGAAATTGAGAAAAACCACTATAGTCGAGGACGATTTTGGGTATTAACTCAATAATTCTATAACTAATATAAATTTTAATTTATAATTTTATTTTAATATCAATAGTAATGATAATAATCATTCAAATAATCAGTATTTTATAAGCTAGCTAGAAATAACTCTGTAATAGATTTATGTTCATGTTTAAAAAAATGAACAAAAAAAATATAATATTCTAACTTTCAATCAAATATAAAAATATTGTTTGTTGACTTTTAACCAAACATTAGAAAATGAAAATAGTTTGTAGAAAATGAATAATTTTTTGGAAATCATTTTGGAGATAACATTTTATGTGCTTCTATACGAATCCTAAGTATGAAAGTTAAGGAATCAATCAAATATTGTCATGTAAAAAAATTTAATTAAGAGACGAAGGTAGCATTACTTCATATAAAATTAGTTAATTAGGTTCAGGTTCGAGTCTGCCTGGCTTTTGGACGGGGAGTGTAGACAGGTGGTGGAGCAGTCGTGGGGTGTGTTGGGTGGTCAAACCTTTTTTGCAGCGTGTGGAACATTGTGGTGTAGACCTGTGGCGTTGGGGTGGGGAGTATTTTGTCAAGTTTAATTTGGCAAGAAAATACAGCAGTTGAGGGGAACGCTTGAGCGCATACGGAGCAGTCATGTACAGCAGGATGTAGAACTGTACGTGCGCTTGGAAAATGATTTGTGTCGGCTGTTAGCTCAGGAGGAGGTTTATGGAGACAAAGAGCTAAACTTTTGTGGCTGAAAGACGGTGATAGTAACACACGGTTCTTCCACAAGTCGGCCACGAGTAGGCGACGAAGTAATATGATAGTGAGGCTAGGGGATACACAAGGCATGTGGCGAGAGGGTTCAACAATGGCACCTGAGGTAATTCGTTATTACACTGAAATCTTCCGGGCAATTGCAAGTAGTGGTAACATGCTGCAGCGTGTACATGTCCGTGTTACTGATGAGATGAATGCCCGGCTTCTTTTACCGGTGGCGCCTGAGGAAGTGAAGAATGTTGTTTCTCTATGGCCCCGGATAAGGCTCCGAGACCGGACGATATGTGCCCTTCTTTTTACCAAAGTTTTTGGGTTGTAGTAGGGATGGACCTTTCTGATTTTGTGATAAGCTGTATACATGCACAACTACTACTTCCCACCTGCTCTCAACAACACTAATGTGGTTTTAATACCAAAGAAAAAGGTCCTGAGACAGTAGCAGACCTGCGACCCATAGCCTTATGTAATGTGGCTTATAAGGTCATTGCTAAGGTTGTGGCGAACCGAATGAAAACGTTCATAGGTAGTGTTATTTCATCAACGCAGAGTGCGTTTGTGCCCAATAGGTTGATATCTGATAATATAATAGTGGCAGGGGAGATTGGGCATTATTTGAGGCGTAAGAGGGATGGTGTAGTAGGTTGGGCTGCTTTAAAACTGGACATGGCAAAAGCTTACGACCGAATGGAGTGGGGGTTTTAGAGGGTATGATGTTAGCAATGTGGTTCGCCCGAGGGTGGGTTGACCTTGTTATGCTATGCATTAATTCCGTACAATATAACATATTGTTAAATGGTGAAGATGCAGGTTTGGTGGCGCCAACTCAGGGCATCCGGCAAGGTGATCCCATATCACCTTACTTATTTATAAGTTGTGCCGAAGGGTTGTCATTGCTCTTACAACAGGTAGAGGCGAGTGGGGTAATACATGGAGTACGAATATCACGGGGGGGCCCCTTCGGTATCCCATCTCTTTTTTGCGGATGACAACCTATTATTTTTCAGGGCCAATGCTGGGGAGGCGAGGTAAAGGGCTGCTTACAAGCTTATTGTGCAGCTTCAGGTCAGGCTATTAATTTTAATAAGTCCAGTATTATGTTTAGTGGAAATACCAACTCACAAACGAGACAGCTTGTTGCTAACCTATTTGGTGTCCCCCAAGTGACACATTTTGACAATTATTTAGGGTTACCATCCTTTTTGGGGCGTGGGATAGGGTGTCAGCTTGGTAGAAGAAGCTTCTGTCCAGAGCCGGGAAGGAGGTTTTATTAAAGAGTGTAGCTTCGTCGATGCCAATCTTTGCAATGTCTGTTTTTTGTTGCCAAAAACTACATGTAATGCAATTGAGAACGTTATGAACCGGTTTTGGTGGGAGAGTGGAGTGTCGGACAGGAGGGGGATCCACTGGATGAGTTGGGCACAGTTATCTGATCCAAAGAGAGTGGGTGGAATGGGTTTCAAAAAATTACATGAGTTCAACATTGCGTTACTAGCTAAGCAAGGATGGCGTATACTCACAACTCCGATTCTCTTGTTTGCAGAATTCTAAAAGCGAGGTATTTCCCGACTAATGACTTCCTGACAGTGAGCTTGGGCCACAACCCTAGCTACATTTGGCGTAGTATTTTGGCGGCACAGCACTTGTTGAGACAAGGGGTGGGGCGGAGGATTGGGTACGGCAAGGATACGTCTGTATGGGGTGTTGGCTGGTTAGCTGATGTGGTAATCCAGGACTGAACACGACATGTATTGAGGAGTTGAGTCATGCCAAGATAAGTAATTTAATGACTGTCAATGGTGCTTGGCATGTTGACTTATTGAGGGATATTTTTCTACCTGATGATGTTAACAGGATACTCCGCACACCAATTGTGGTACAACATGATGACGTTTGGTATTGGAGGAATGATATTAGGGGCCAATACACGGTTAAGCATGGTTATAGGCTCCTGATGCAGGGTAGTGGGGCGCAACTATTGCCTTTTTTGTACAATGGCGTAAATTATGGCTGCTGAAAGTACCACCGAAAGTCCGGAATTTCATGTGGCGTTGCTTGAGAGGTATTCTGCCTGTATGGGAGGTTCTAAGGGAGAAACGGGTTTATGTTGGAGGTGGTTGCCCGTTATGTGCTGCGTCGCTGGAGACTATTGTGCATATTCTATGCGAATGCCCCATGGCTTGCCAGCTCTGGGGTACGGCTGACGTGTTAAATGGCAGAAGTTTCACCCAATTCGTAGAGGAGAACTTGTGCCATCAAGACGGGGCACGAGCTTGTGCGATGGCTTGTAGGTTTTGGGTGATGTGGATGGTGTGGAACGGGAAGCTGTGGACTATCACCCAAATGCGTGCTTATGTGTGTGCCGAGCTGTTGGCATGGGCGGAGGCTAGCACACCAAACCCGACTTGCAACCTTGCAGGAATTTCTGTAACAGCGTGAGTGCTGCCGCCACCTTTTGGCTATCTGAAGTGTAATTTTGATGCAGCCATACACGGACAACATGCGTCGTTTGGCGCGGTTCTGCGAGATCACAATGGTGTGTTTATAGCAGCATGCAGGGGAAGGTTCTTGGGTGTTAATGATGCTTATCTTGCGAATGCCATAGCCTTTAAAGAAGTCCTATCTTGGTGAAGATGTAAGTATTTTCTCTAATATAATATATTATAATATATTGTATTAATTAAGTTGTTGTGATGCAAGTGGAATATTAAGTCAGTTAGTGACTTAGTCTGTTAGGCAACTCAGGATATTCAGTTAAGCTTTAACTGAATATCTGTCTACATTGATGGCATGTAGGCTTCTAAGCAAAATAGTCCTCCCACAGCTCCCGTGTTCAGAATACAAGCATCATCGAGTACTCGGGAGAGAAGTGGTAGACAAAATACTAGCCTTTATTCTGCAAGTTTACCATCTCGTGGCAATACCAATGACTATGGCTGGGGATATTCGGGCGATCCTAAAGCTTCCGCTACTACGAGACAGGTTACTCGTTACTACAATTAATGTTAGACTAAATTTATTATCTAACAGAAGAGTCGCCCGGTATCGCTTTATTTTATGGAGTCGGACTGTATGAATTTATGCTCAAGTTTTAATTCTTGTAAACAGGACTTATCTTATGTTGGTTTGGTAGTGAAGCAGTGTAGAGTCATTGCTAATGACATAGGGAACGTATTGGTTCAATTCGCCATGTCAAGAGGTCAGCGAATCATGTGACCCATGCGTTAGCAAGGACAACTAGTTCTATCTCTATTCTTACTGCGTGGGAAATTGTCCCGCCAACTTGTATTTCGAGCTTGTTCTGAGTTTAATGGATGCGGCTTTATATATATATATATATATATATATATATATATATATATATATATATATATATATATATATATATATATATATATATATATATATAAAATAAAAAAGTTAGTTAAGTAAAGTTTTAAAATCTCATAAAATAAAACTAAAATATAAAGTAAAAATTATTGAATATATATACTCCGTAATTAATATTGGTGTGAAATTGACACTTTTACTAATTAATAATTAATCACCAATAAGTGCAGTCTCTATATTATTAGTCTTAACGGAAAATTTAACGTTGAAATCACTCCCCACATTTAATGAAGATAGAACGGGCTTTTTCCTTTTTGCTAATCAACGCTTTATTCTGTTAATCTACTTTAACCAAAGAAAGAAAGAATATATCAAGAAAATATCCCATAGCATATGGATAAGTGAAAGACATAAAAGTGGCAATACTACAGCCTACAGGTGCTATACATCTGGATTTATCCCTATATTCTGTTATAAAGGCCTTCTTTCGTAACATAGTTTATCAATCAATTTTAATTTATTTGATCGTTATTAGCTGTTTGATTTGATTTAACAATCAATATAAGTATTTGATTAATTAGCTTTTTCTAACAGATTATTACTCTAAAATGTTAAAATTCAAAAAAGTTGCTCAAAGTAGCTTTTTCGATCAGTTTTTGGAGAAAGTCATGTTGCATGTAATCAACTATCAGCTAACAGTTAATTTACTAAACACTTTTCTACAATCAGCTAATGCTATCTACTAGTCAAAAACACTAACTCAATTAGCTAACAACTATTTACCAAACACCCCAAAATAAAATTAAATGGATCGAATCAACTACCTTTTTATTAACTTCTTTAGTATGAATTTGATGAAATGATTGGATTAATGACTCATCTAGTAATCAAACGTTAACGTGGACTATGGTCCAAATAGTTGTATGGCTCATGTTGATACACTACAAATATGTATATTGTCAAATGAATTTGTAGTAGAATTTAAATGATACTTTAATATTACTATAATGAATCTTGATACCGTAAATACGGGGGTATATGTACAATACAGTATCGAATACACAATATTTGAGCTCGGGATCCTCCGATAATGGGTAGGCAGTCTCCGATCAAATAGCCTAAGTTTAAAGTAGGTGCAAAAGTCCCTCTCTCAGCAATAAATGCGCTATTTATAGGAGAGAGGGGGAACAAGGTCCGAGCTTCCGGCATGGCTGACACGTGGTGGACATGCAAGGCCCAAGCTCGGGGTCGAAGGGTTTCATGACACGTGGGGTTATATTCCTAACTACACCTCGCTATACGTAGAATCGGATGTACTAGTGTCCGACCTTTATCGATCAGGCTGCCTGCTGGGTCGAGAGATCGGATGAACAACCCTCGATGAGGTCGATCGAGTACTAAACGGTCGGGAGACCGTCTTTTGCTAGCACCGGTCGGGTTAGGGGCCGTGTGGTCCGGGGATCGACTACCGGGCGCAACACTGACCGTAGGAAAAGTGGGGGTCGGGGTAATATTCCTATCAAGTAACCCCCCATAGCCCGGAGTCAAACGACAGTTCGGGAGGAAGAGTTCGGGCTACACTTGGCCTGCTAGGTGCTTCGACTAAGATCTGGTGCGACGCGGGCCAACGGGTGTCGCTTCAGTCTCTCGTCCGATGGGTCAACATGACACGTGGCAAGGCGTGGTTGGCGTTGGGATACGAGCGCGACTTTGAGATCAGAGCGTTTTCCCGCCGAAACCACTCCCTATAAATATGGCGACTCTGAGGGTCCCATTATGCTTATGCTGCAGCCACTTGAGATCGGACGTTCCTGAGCGTTTCTTCCTCACAACAATCTCTTTGACGATCAAACACTCCAATCCTTCCTGAAGATCGTGACCAAGTGTTCCCTTATTTTTCTCGAGTTTAAGTTTTAATTCCAAATATGCTTGAAGATCGTGATCAAGTATTCCCTTATTTTTCTCGAGTTTAAGTTTTAATTCCAAATACGAGACTCAATTGCTAACAATCTAAAAGTTTCTAATTTGATTGATCATGAGTCTTGCCTTGAGAGTAAGTTAAGGCAAGAGTTTTGGTGTGGGCATGGGAAAATGTCTTTCTTCTCGGTGGGGTTTGAGGTACACAGTGCATCAATAAAAAGTTTTCTAGAATAACTTTCGCTTAGTGCTTTTTGAAATATTTGATTTATTGTAGACTATGTTGGCTTTGTAAATCTTCTTGGGAACTTTGTTGCAACAATCTAACTCTTAAAAATTAAAATAAAACAACTAAACATAATATATTGTGCAAACCTATTAAGCAAAAAATAATGCCAATACAAGGCTTATAGCATATTGGATTTACATGGAGAATTATGACTAAAACAAAAAGCAACATATTGCTTTTTCATTGGTACGGTCTTCTTAAGTATTGATTTAGACAATTTTGGAAAAAAAAAAAAAAGATAAATTATAATATTATCCCGAAGAATACAAATACAAGAGGCATATATACATCGATCCATGAGGAAATTCAAGATTCACCAAAAATATTGGTGGGAAGCAAAATACTAAATGCCAGCATTAGGCAAGAAGACATAACCTAGACTGATAAGTCAAGAATGAGTGGATGGACACTATTTCAACTCATAGAGAAATAAAGGTCCATCAAGATGCACTACCAGATAACAAAAGCATGCAACAAGAATACTAAGTATACAAGACAGACTAAAGACCTCTGAAAAAAGTAGTGGAAAGATGAGATGGCAGCGAGAGACAAGAGTATTCCTTCAAATTAAAACATCATAACAAAAGTGACTTTTGAACATGTTTTTCTGCATAAACATAAATAATGAGTCAAATTATTGAATTTTCATCATGTTGAAATTGAGGGATTGAAAGGCCTGGCGGGTGGAGAACAACCACCACCCGCCAGTTAGGCGGAAGCAAAATATGTGAGAACCAAAGAGGAGAATAGAAAGAGTATATTATTATGAAAGATTACAATAGATTACTCTACTTCTCTATATTAAACTATATAAGAATAGGAAACTAAGACAGCTTCTACTAGGAACGAGACAAAGGTTTCCTAATATTCAACACACCATTCACCTCCTTTGAAAGTTCAGCTTCTGAATACAAAGTGTAAATAAACAGGCAAAAAGAAGTGGGAACAAAATCAGCATTGCAGCCACAATGGGCAATTGATGATGGTGATATCCAAAATAATCCCTCAGAAAGGCTGCCACTGTTTTCTTTTCTCCAAAAACCATGATCTCCTCCTCTACGTCTCCATATTGCGAAGAAAGCATGCAGTTTAGGGACCAAGATGTAGGGATTAAATAGTAAAACCAGACCCACCACTTGGGTATTTGCTGCAAGATTATGAACATATATAAAATGATTGTTTGCAGTAATGTCTAGCTGCAATTAAGTTTCTTATAATAGAAAGTAATTCTTTATGTACTCACTGGCTTACGAATCATTAATCCAGCAAAGAGGTTGAACATGGAGTAAAAAGCAGATTGCAGAGTTGCAGCTATGTGAAAGCTTGGTGTCATGGCAATAAGCAGCATTCCCAGATAATTGAAGTACAGCAGTGTGCAAAACATGGCATAGAAGTACCACAAAACCTTGTGTGCTGACCCATAGTATCCAATCATTGGATATGTGATACCCGTGAACACAACTGTTTGAGCAAACAGATAAGGAATCTCGACGATAACCTATATATGACAATATTAGGAGTTTAATTAGATCGAATGTTATAAGAAGCTATCAGGGTAATAGATTAATTAGCTTATCATTTCATATTCAGCTGCAACCAGCTTAGTTGGCGTGAGTGGCCGTAGACTCTCATCCCTTAAGAGAGGTCGGGAGTTCGAACCCCCTCTCGTATGAAAAAACCAATCTGTCCAGCACTAAACCCCTTAATTGGGCCGGTCCGGTGTGAATGGGGATTAGTCTAAGTATGGTGTGGGCTTGGTACGGGTTTAAAGGTGCCTCCTACAGTTAAAAAAATTCATATTCAGCTGGAGTACATGTCGAGGTATTTATACCCAATGTTGCAGAAGGCGCTAGGCACTAGTCGAGCGCCCGGGGAGCACCTAGGCAGCCTAGTAATCCGAGTATATAATCTCCACATTTTAACTAGTCAACTACATATACGTTAGATGGTTAGTTGAGTACATCGCTGGAAGAATATAGAAAAGGAGCAACCGAGCAGACAAAAAAAAAAAAAATCACTAGGCCGAATTAGGCGCCCAACTCGGCGCCTAGTCAGCTGACCAGCTAAAAGCCGCCTAGGGCTGAAATCGCTTCGGCCAAGGCGGCCGCCTAGGCTAATTTTTACAACACTGTTTATACCTGTGCCAATGCATAAGCCCATGAAGCATACATCCCAGCAAATCTGTCCCTGTACAAGACAGTTCTCTCTGTGCTGACATATGGTAAAACTGTTGAGCAATTGTTTATCCCACATTGCATTACTGCAGTGAACATTGAACCAAGTATATTCAACAAGCTCTGCTGGTTTTCTCTATTAATTCCACAAGAAAACAAAAGGATTAATAGTTCTTTGGGAGTAGATATGATCAAATCTTGGACGGAGCAGCTAGTAAGTATATTTAGCAATAGTACGTATAATATTCTTACATTTTCTTGCCTTGATCCCAAAACAACAATCCTAAAAGAAGAGATACGATGAGCATATGAATGAATCGCATCAAGTTGTAGGAAGGACTCCTCCAGTAAGACCAATACTGCTTCCAAAGGCAGGTCTTGAACTGGCCCCACCCCTTCTGTGAAAAGGGGGTGGGAAAATGCAACTGCTTTGAGCCGTGACGTGGAACACTCAGCATCTTTACAAGCTCTTTGTTATTTCTACCAATATTCAGGTACAATTGTAATTCAGAAATATTTTAGAATGAATCAGGAATTAATTCAAGAGTTAATTCTGGAGGTAGTCCTCTGACTATCATTCATAAAGAGTATTGAATCATTTCCAATTGTAATCCACTATAAGTTTTTTCCTGTGTGAACAACGCTTAACATTGAGGGTACGGTGAAATTAGGGGTACTAGAATAAGGAAATTATGGCTTTGTTTCTGGCGTGTGAGAAACAATTGGCTCAATGGTCATAACTTTCTAATTTTATCCTCAATGTTAATGATTTACACAGGGAAAAGCTAATGGCGGATTACAATTGCAAGTGATTCAATACTTACAAGGTGTTTGGTAGAGTGTAATTGTAAATCTTCTATAATGTAATTCTTTGGCATGAGAAACTAAAATTGTTTGGTTGGAGGGAATTGAAAAGGAGTGGAATTCATACAGCCCCCATGGGAATTCCAATTTGGCAGCAGCTGGGAAAGGAAAAAATAGGAAAATCTGAAAATGACTGAATTGCCCTTGATTATTATTATTTTTTAGGGAAAACAGCGCTTTTGGCCCCTCAATTGTTTTACTTTTGGAAATTTAGCCCCTATCAATTGATTTGAACAAACCTAACCCTTTAATTGTTCATAATGTAGCACATTTGGTTCCTCATGTTATATAATTAGAATTGTTTTTAATAATTTATATAATTTATTTATTCAAAATTAAAAATATTTTTACACAAGGGCATTTTAGTCTTTATATCACTTCTTCCCTTCCCATTCTCAATAATTCTATTCCTCCCTACCAAACAATGTAATTTCAATTCCTACTTTATTCTCACCTTATTCTTTTCCCACAAAATTACAATTCTTTTTCTCCCTAATTCCCCCCTCCCAACCTCCCAACCAAACACCCTGTTAAGGACTAAATTTGGTAGCTTTAAAAGTTGCAGACTAAAATTGGAAATGAGTGATAGTCAAAGTACTAAATCCGGAATTAACTCTTAATTGAAGCAATTTATTTTATCAGACTCACTTGTATAAAGAAGATTTTTGATAGATTTCTGCAAAATCTAAGCCAAGTTCGGCTTCTGCAAATGTTGAAGTGACTTCTAACATCCATGTTGCTGGATTATAATTATCCTTTATTTTTGGCACACCAGAGATACCCTGTTAAGACGTAATTGTTTCAGTAAATGTACAATGGAAAAGCATGGAAAGTGTACAACAGATCTGGCAAATTAAACTGACCTCAAAATAATCAATCATTTTACAAGAATGCCAACCCAGCGGTCCCCAGTAGATCATTTTCCCACCGGTTTTCAAGAGAATAAGCTAAAGAATAGTAGAAACAAATGTGTACTTTGAACAAAGAATAGTATTAACTGTTAAAGCAATCAATCAATCAATATTCATCTTCTCATGCTTTCTAAATTAACAATTACATAATACCTCATCAAAAGCTTCAAATATATCAATACTGGGTTGGTGAATGGTGCAAACAATTGTTCTTCCTGTGCCAACCACATTCTTTACGGCCCGCATCACAATTGCAGCTGCCCTTGCATCAAGCCCAGTTGTAGGCTCATCCATGAAAATGATCGAGGGGTTCGCAACCAACTCCACAGCAATTGTGAGCCGCTTGCGTTGCTCTGTTGAAAGACCACTGATACCAGGCATGCCTACCAGCATGTCCTTTATTCCGTCAAGCTCAATTGTCTCAATCACTTCCTTCACAAATTCCTACATACACACCCAAGGACAATCATATCATATTGGAATTAATTGTATACACAAAAAAATGTTGCAGAAGGCGCTAGGCACAGGTCTAGTCGGGTGCCGGGGAAGCCTAGCTCCTAGAGCGCCTAAGCAACCAAATATACCATCTCCACTTTTCTTACTCAGGGCTGTGAGCTGTTAGACTATTATAATCCCCCGAACTAGTCAACTACATATGTTAGATGGTTAGTTGAGTACATGACTAGAGGAATATAGAAGAGGAGCAACCGAGCAGGCAAACAAAAATCACTCGGCCGAGTTAGGTGCCTAATCGGCCGGCTGACTAAAGTCACCTAGGGCTGAAATCGCCTTGGCCTAAGGGTGCCTATTCGGCGCCAGGCGGCCACATAAGCCGATTTTTACAACACTGACACAAAATGGGTTCAGAAAAGAATAGCGCAATCCTGATGTAGCATAGAAATGGCCAGCCATACAGATTTGGTTTTGGAATCAATCTCTGGAGGAAGCCGTAGCCAAGCAGAAAAGATAACTGATTCTTCTACTGTGATCTGAGGAGAATGTATATCAGTTTGCTCACAGTAACCAGAAACTCGAGCAAATGTCTCTTGAACTTTAGGGTACCCTCCAATCCTTATTTCTCCTTCCACTGTACCACTAGTCTTTCTACCAGAAAGAACATCAAGAAGAGTTGTTTTTCCAGCACCACTGACACCCATAAGAGCAGTAAGAACACCAGGTCTGAGTGCGGCAGTGATGTTGGAAAGAAGTTGAAGTCTTTTTTCAGTGAAACCGCATTCCTTCATTGCCTAAAAACAGATATAAGAGGATTAAAATCAACAACCAATGAATCTGGCCTAATGATCTTTCCAGATACAATCCATTGTCAAATGAGAATGGTATATATCAATATATGTTCCATTACCACAGGCATGTCAATGTAGTATTGAACATCTTGAAAAACTACACTTAAGGCTTCAAAAGGCAAAATCACTCGGCCTGCAGAAGACAAGAAAAAAGACTTCTTTTAAGAAGATAACAAATTTGAATCATAAGGCAATGCAAAAGAAGTAAACAAAAGGAAAAGGTACAAAACCTGGATTAGAAGGTTCAGAAGTTTTTTCTTCAACAGGCACTTTATGAAGTGATTTTCTACTTCCTTGTATTTTTGAGAATTTTTCCTTTGAAATAATAGCACGTGAACCTGGGGCTGCATGGATATTGGAATTGAATTAACTATACTAAAATTGTTCTGTAGTTTCATCTCAAATACAATAGATATGTGAACTTACGTTTAAGGAAACTCAAGGCTAATGTGAAACCAAGGTTAAATAGTATTGTAAAGCCAAATAGAGCACCAATTGATACCCAATATAGGTACCCATCAAAATTTAATCCTCGGCTTTCAAGAACTTCTTCTCCTATAGTCATATTTGTGGGTGACATCTGCAAGAATTAACGAAGAATCAACATGGAATGAAAAACATACCGTGTATTAGGGGTGTCAATCGTGCCAGTCCACTCGGTTTCAAGCTAGTCATGTCTGAAGTATTGGTTCAGGCTAATCGGTTATTTTATTATTTTATTTTCAGGTTCGGGTTGGCCCTAACCCTAAAACAAGGGCTATCGGGCTTATTAGATGGGCTAAACCATATGAACTAAAATTAGAAATTGAGAGTGAGTACCCACATTCAATGGAGCGGGACGAGTAGGGATGTCAATTCAAGGGAAACCTGGTCCCCGCTCATATGGGGATTGTACCCCAGTCCCGACCCTAAATCCTAGATATATATATATATATATATATATATATATATATATATATATATATATATATATATATATATATATATATATATATATATATATATATATATATATATATATACACACACACACACACACTAATATTTAATAGCAAAAACTTGTGTGAGACCGTCTCATGGATCCTTATCCGTGAGACGGGTCGGGTCAAGATGAAAATGAAATATGTTATACTTTTACATTTTGATTTAAAAGAATTACATTTTTCGTCATAAGTATTACAAGTAACAAACACTTGCCATGGGATAAACTATCAAGAAACTTTTGCTCCTATTGAAAAGCTAAACACTATCAAAATTCTTCACTCATTACTCATTAGCTGTCAACCAAGATTTGTGATTGCAACAGCTAGACGTAAAAAGAAAAAGCTTTTCTAAACGGTGACCTTGAGGAAGAAGTCTACATAAAAATACCACTTAGTTTCAAAGGAAGTTTGGCAAAGAATCAGGTTTGCAAACTCAAGAAGTCCTTGTATGACATTTAACAATCCCGTTGAACCTGGTTTGTCATATTCACAAAGGTGATTTTGAAGCTTAACTACATACATAGTCAGGCTAATCATACTTTGTTTGACAAGAAATCTCATGATAGGAAAATTGATGTATTGATAGTCTATGTCGATGATATTATTCTATCTGGGAATGATTTGGAAGAATTACAAATGTATTTTCAGAAGATTTTGAAGTTAAAGATCTTGGAAATATTAAGTATTTCCTTGGGATGGCAGTGACTACATCAAGGAAGGGCATTGTTGTTTCTAAAAGGAGACTGGTATGCTTGGATGTAAACCAATTGATACTCTTGTGGACAATTAGAAGAAACTTGCACTGAGAAAGAAAGTACACCGGTAGACAGGGGAGATATCAACGAATAGTTCAACACATGATTACACATTCGACCAAATATTGGTTTTGCAGTGAGTATTATGAGTCAATTCATGCAGTCTTAGAGGAACACATGGAGGAAGTCTACAAAATTCTTAGATACTTGAAAATGACACCAGGGAAAGGTTTATTCTTCAAAAAGAGAGAATATTTACATTGAGATGCACTTAGACGTAGATTGGGTAGGGAACACCATTCATAGACGGTCAACTTCTGGGTATTGTTCTTTTCTTTGGGGTAATCTTGTTAGATGGAAGAGCAAGAAGCAATCAATGGTAGCCGGAAGCAATGTCAAAGCAGAGTATAGAGCACTGGCACAAGGAATTTGTGAAGGGATTTGGATTAAGAAAAAAAAGGTTCTTAGTGAACTGGAACAAGTGAGTTCATCTCTTATTTTGATGATGTGTGGCAATCAGGCAGATATGGCAGCTATCAGCATAGCAAAGACTCTTGTGCATCATGATACAACTAAACATGTTGAAATTGACTGACACCCCATCAAGGAGAAGGTGACCAGTTAGACTATTAAGTTGAACTACATTTCTACCAAGCAATAAACTTTAGACATCCTAACCAAAGCTCTACCTAAACGGCTAAACCTAACTTTGAAGACTTAATTTGCAAGCTAGGATTACATGATATATATTCTCCCGCTTGAAGGGGAAGTATTGAATATTCATAGTCAAAGTTAGGGATTTTATTGTAGAAAAGTATTTTAGGAATAAAAGGAGACATAGGATGTGAACTTTCTTATGATTTTAAGGGAAGAATCAAGCTAGTTAGTTTTTTTCCTTTGTTGCGCGGTTTGTGTATATGATGTTATAATTACTGTCTTTTTTTTTTAATGAAGAAATTCAAAAATTCTTCAATTAGCTAGTATGGTTTATATGCACTCACCTTTTCCCATCGGGGGGCAAGAAATTCATTCAGAGCAAGGCCTATCTCACCATATGAAATTGGAGAAACCCAGAATCCCCATTTCAACCAGACTGACATAGAAGCTGCAATAAACATTTCCATTTGAGTTATATTCCTCTCCTCACAGAAGTCTTATATACGAAACGAAAACAAAATGATAGTTGGAAATATTACGTCGTGAGATTATGAAGCCACCAAATAACAAAACAAACATAATTGATAGATTGCCAACTGTTGTAGCAACAACAACTGTTGGGAAGATAGCAGCCAAGAACCGGAATAAGGATATTGATGACATATGCACAGCAAAGAATACAAGTAATTGGCGGAAGAACCTGGAAGCATTAATAAGAAATTGAGAACTTGAGTAAAAATCCCAGCACCAATTAAATTAAACATTGTTATATTTGAATGGCCACTTTATTCAAAACTAAAGAGATCAGTAACATGGTTAATAACTTGGACAGATATAATATTTCATTATGAAAAATACTCATCATTAAAGAAAATGAAGCAATGGTATATCAATTGACACTCACCTTCCAACCTCAGGACTGAAACCAACAGCATAATAAGTAATAGATGTCCAAACAACAGATTCCAACAAAGAAAGAGGA